AATCTCGTCTTAACGCGGTCTGACTGAGGCCTGACTGGCGTCTGAAAACGGACTGAAAATTCAGACGCGGTTCAGCTTGCATTCAGCCTATCTGTTCCACACGGGTTACGGAACGCCCCGCCGCGAGCCCCGGCCTTCGTCGCGCACCCCGTGCTTGGTACAGTGGGGGCGGGGCCGCCTGCAAGCTGATTCCGAGAGTCGTTTTCGTCGCTGTGTCTCTCTCGCACTCATCGGGCGTCCCTTATAGGTGCGAGAGAGACAGAGCGACTCTCGGAATCAGTCTGCTGGGCCCGGGCCCTGGGCCGCCGTGACACTGTACTCTCTTTCCAGGAACGCGGCGTATGCAGGAGGGGATGGTCGGCGTCACCCGTCCTTGAATAAAACAAATCGCTGATGACGGCATGCCTTGGCGCCGGCCAGTGTGCCCGCACAAAAAGGGAAGGGACCTCCTGGTCGTCGCGACAAAAAACCTCATTGCTGAGAGGGGCATTTCGCCGATTCGCTGGGGCGTAGGCAGACTGTTGTGAACGTTTTGTGGCGCTTTTATACCTCCGACTCAGGTGAGGCGGAGAGTACGGCAATGTATCAGGTGGGAGGGGTCCCGTACTACGCTTCTGGCCCTCTAGCGACTCTTGCCCTGAAAACTGCATGAGGCTGGGCCCCGGGGCCTGGGCACAAAACGCTTCTCCCAGGCGGCCCCTCGAAGCAACGGCATCCGCCGCGATAGGAACCCGTCGCAACCCGCCGCAACCCGTCGCAACACCATACACCATGCAAAAGCATGCGGAGCATGCAAAGCACACCTGCGGGGGCATAAGCGTCACCCTGCGTGACACTGCTGCTGCGCCCCGCCGCGCCCCGCCCCGCCCCGCCACGCCACGCCCCGCCGCGCCACGCCACGCCCCGCCACGCCCCGCCACGCCACGCCCGCCGCGCCGCCCCGCCCCCGCCACGCCCCGCCACGCCCGCCACGCCCCGCGACGCCCCGCGACGCCACGCCCCGCCGCGCAGCACCGCGCCCCGCCACGCTCTAGACGAGCCCCTTCCCCCATTGGGAGGGGTGGGGTAGGGGAGGGCCGTGCGAGAGGCGGTTTAGTCCGGATCGAGGCGGCGCAAACCAACGACGTCAGTGCGGGGGGGGGGGGGGGGGGGGCGAGGGGCGTTCGTCACGGCCGGGCCCTGGCCGCCCGCTCCACCCTCCACCACCGAAGTCTCGTTCTCCTCCTCCCCGCCTGCAGCAGGCGGAGCAGTCGGGGACGCCGGCCGTTCGGCCCATGCGGCATTCTGCATTCTTCCCTTCCTGGGGCGGCGCGGGCCCTCGCGCGGGCCGTGCCGCCCGTGACCGGCCCTTCAACACCCCCGAGGGCTCGAGGGAGGACCGCGGCCACCCTCCCGGCACGCCGAGTACGGCCCCCTCCATTCCGTCGCACACACACACGCTCACTCACACACAGGCCAGGGGAGGCGACACAACAGCAGCCAGCCCACTGCCCCCCTTTCGTGCAACCCCTTGCAACCACCTGTCCATCTGCACTGCTGCACCCCTTCGCGCCCCAGCCCCTGCCAGCAAGGGCGGGTATTCCCCGGGGGGCGTTTTAAAAGTCAAGACAAAGTCCACGACGACGGCGGCTCCCCGAGGGGCCCACGGGGCGGGGAACCACAGGGAATGCCACGACCTACTTGAGCTGCATCGCGCCTCGCCAGCACCCGACCGGGCGTGAACGCCGTGTGCCGCTCGGCCGCGTTCGCTTGAACGTGAACTTGACCGTCATCTACTACGCCTCCCCCTCCCCCTCCCCCACGCCGACGCCCACCCACCCTACCCTTCCCCACCCACCCATTCTAAACCGCGACCCAGCCTGCCGCCGGGGCCCCGCGGTGGCACGGCGTGGCGCGGCTCGCGGCACGGCACGGCACGGCACGGCACGGCACGGTGTGATAGTACAAACGCTATAAAACAGCGTGGCATTACGGAGTACGGCGCAACTAACTTTTAACTTGACACGTTCGCGGTCTAATTTATTCGGTACCTCAGTGCTGGCCGGCACGCGACGCCGCGACGCCTTGGGGGTTTTGCACCTTGCGGCGCGCTGTGGAAGGGGAAGGGGGCGGGGGAGGTTTGGCGGTCACCACCTTGAATAGCACGGATAGCACGCGCGGGGTGGTTCACGGCTCGGATCGCGGGGGGTCGTCCAGCTCGCGGAGAGGCTAATAGAGGATGCATATCATCCATAGTCGGGTTAGGCGCGTCCAAGGTCGCTTCAAGGGCATTTCTGGTGCGGATTTGCCACCCGATTTACCACAGGTTAGGTTAAGTTCAAACTCGTCCCCAAACTAGTGTATTTGGAAATTTTTGAAAATTGGCAGGGGCCATGTTTTTGAAACGTAAAAGGACGAGCAGGCCGCTAACCAACTGAGATGTCGAAATGAAACTTCGAGGGCACGTTGTCGGTTACTAGAAGCATACTTTTCAACATATTTTTAACACAATTGACAGCTGTTAAATAATAGAGTATGTATTTTGATGCCATCAAAAATTTCAAATTCTAGGGAGTCGTGCATATTAAGAATTTGTTTCTGAGCATAACGGAGAAGATAGTTGACGGTGTTTCGATAGGTCAGGTGTTTAGGTGAACGATTCACCGATTGGCCGGCGAGTCCGCCACTCGACGGGGCGGGGTCGCGGTGCTCCGATTGGCCAGCGGCTCTGAAAGCGATGGAAGCACCACTCAATGCGTCGAAAGCGCTCAGTGCTGAAAGCAGGCAGACAGGCCCATATTAGCGGCTCATTCCGAGAGTCGTTTCGGTCGCGCTGCGTCTCTGTCGCACCCGTGCGGAACGCCCCATGAGTGCGAGAGAGACAGAGCAACGAAAACGACGCTCGGAATCAGTCTGCAGTATTGGTCCAATCACGTCGAGTTAGGGGGCTCGACTCGGTGCGCACCACCGCCCCTTGCCTGGGAGAGGGAAAGAGAGAGACAGAGAGAGACAGAGAGAGGGGAAGGGAGCAGTGCGGGACAGGCAGTGTGATCGCCGGGGATGGGGTAGTTGGTCGAGAGGGAGGGGTACTGAGTCGCCGCCGCCGGCATGGAGTGGGAGCGTACCGTGTACAGAATCTAACCCGTTTAAACCGGTCAGAATGCCAGTCCGGGACGGGACACCGGAGGGGGAGGGGGGTCGGGGGAGGAAGAGAGCTCCCTCCGGTAGTGACTTTCGGAAGCGCAGGCCCCGCGGCCCCACACCACCGCACCCTTTGAGGTCACAAGGAGGCCATACGACCTTCGCGCGCATCCCCCCGTCCCCCACCCCCGTCCCCCTGTGGTCCCAGTCCACGCTCGCATGCAGCCCCGTGCCGTGCAGCATTGCCGGCAGCATGCCGCTCCATTACATAGAGTGCCGCGCCGCGCGCCGCGGAACTTGATTAATATGGAAATAGTTGGCGACGGAGCACGCGTGTAATCGCGTAGTCTTCGTGGCCGTCCCCGTGGTCGGATCCGCCCGCGGCATGCAATCGTCTATCTCCCTCTCCCTCCCTCCCTCCATCGTGGGAGTTTCCTCGTTCACGACAAATTTCTTCACGTTTGGTTTCGAGAGTTGAAAAAAAAAAGAAACAAGACACACAAAATATTCTAGTGCAAGAATTTTGAAAGTCGAATGCACGAATGCACGTAAACGCGCGCGTGAACGTGTGTGTATTGAGAATAAAACTCGACATCGCACTAGAATATTTTGTGTCTCTTGTTTCTTTTGTTTTTTTTCAACTCTCGAAACCAAACGTGAAACCAAACGTGAACGTATCGAAGAGGAAACCTTTCGAAAAGCCTGTTTATAACGTTTTCAACCTGAAGAACCGAATATTCTAGTGCGATGTCGAGTTTTATTCTCATTACACACACGTTCACGCGCGCGTTTACGCGCATTCGACTTTCAAGATTCTTGCAAAGCAGTTAGTAAACACGCATGGCATATAACTTAGAGTTTTGTTTCTTGTTGTTGTTGTTGTTGTTGTTGTTGTTGTTCACGCCGCCGATAACGCAGACTTGAACGCGCGGTCGCACGCTCTCAACTCAAGCCTAGGTGAGGGGGCGCCGGTGAAGCAGGCAACCCTCGACGCAGCGACAGCGCTGCGCCTCTGTTCAGAGTTTCCCGCCAAAAGCAACTTCCTCTGCCGAGCGGCCAGGCGCGCAGTGGCGCCCTCAGTCGGCGGGAATCGGAACCTCCTGGCCGCAGGCACCGCGCGCAGGGGGTATTCCCGGCGACACCCCGCGCCTCGAGACGCAGGACTGTCTCCGATGAGCGGCCTCAGGTGCCTCGGGCTTCGGGCTTCAGGGACGTCCCGCGCTTATGTCATGTCCAAATTTGGGCCAAACAAAGTCCAGACAATGTTGTGCCATGAGACCAGTGCCATGGATATGGCGTGCCGGTTGACTGCGGTCACGGCCAATGCGTACTGAAAGACGTGTCGCTGAAGCATTCGCGGCGCAGAGCTAAGGGTTTCCGGACACTTGGAACAAACGGAGTTCTTTCGTTCCGGAAACCGCGCTCCTGGTAATTCCTGTAAGATTAAAATGGCCGATGTGCGAATGAGGCGCAAGTTGTCGCGCGTCTGTCCGCTGCAGCCGGTCGTCATATTTCTTCTGCTGCCCCTGGGCTGCTTGGCTTGCGGCTGGCCTTAATCTGACCATATGGTGGCACCCAGATCCAGGACTCCAGGCGAGTCCTTGCTCAAGAAGATTACCCATGAATGGCCAAGACCGCCACGACCGGGCCGGGGCTGCCGGGGCTCTCCGTACCGCGACGCGACCGCGTACGGCAACAAACGGCGGCTTTGCAGTCTTTGCATGGCGCCGCCACGCCGCCGCCGCCGCCAGTCTCACGACAGGTGGTTTCTGTGCCCCGCAAGTGCTGCGCTCTGGCGGCGGCGCGGCGCGTCACGCGCCCGAGCGGAGCCGAGGCGGTCACGTGACCCGAACGTAGCTGGACGAGCGGGCGTCGGCCGGCTCGGCAGTCTTCGGTCAGCACTCCCGCCGGATCTGTCAAGTCGTGTAGTCCATGTAGAAACAGCGCAGTGTCCAAGTGTTGTTGTGCCGTGTGTTTTGTTTTCTAAATGTTTATCTCAAGATTTAGTCGTTATCTACCGTCCTGCTAACGCGGCGCACGTCGTGGCTGCCGATCCGAGTCCCCGAGTGCGGTGGGACGCGTGTGTGGATGGTGTTTAGCCGACGCCGGACCTGAGTGTTGCCGGAATCCAGAGCCTGCCTGTACGCTATCATGGCGGAGCCTGACACCAAAGTGGACCGGTCCGATCCGGACCTGAAATATTTGTCAGTGGACAAATCCGCCTTCAATGACCCGGCCACGCAGGCCGAGTGGACACAGAAGAGACTGGTGTGGGTGCCGCACGAGAACCAGGGCTTCGTCTCGGCCGGCATCAAGGGGGAGCGCGGCGATGAAGTGGAAGTGGAGATCGCGGAGACGGGCAAGAGGATTTTCGTCGCCAAGGATGACATCCAGAAGATGAACCCGCCCAAGTTCGACAAGGTGGAGGACATGGCCGAGCTGACGTGCCTCAACGAGGCCTCCGTCCTGCACAACATCAAGGACCGCTACTACTCCGGCTTGATCTATGTGAGTATAGGTTAGGTGACGTCACGCCCGCCGGCTCGGCTCGACGGACCCGCCCGTGCCGTCTTGACTGGTCCCCACCCGAGAGGGGCCCCGGCTCGGCATACCGGTCACCGCCCCTGCCAAGGGGCCTGCCTGCCTTAGCAGCCTTAGCCTGCCTGGGCCCAGGCCGCCCTGGCAGCGCGAAGCGCGAAGCTCGCATTCGCAGAGCCAGAAGCCCAAGCCCGGCGAGTGGCATTGCCAAAGAATGGCTCTGCAGACTGCAGGCGCAGGACGCGGGATTCCATCCCACTAACAATGTTGACGATGCACCTCGCTGCCGTGGCGTGACGCACGGCCGCTGTGGGATCTAGGGATTTACTTTGTGCGGTGGGATGGCCCGAGTGAAATGTAGAGTTGGGCACGGTGGCCAGTTCCCCAGCTGGGATTTGTTCAAGTATCGGTGACAGGGGGATTACTCAGAGGGTTTGTCAGAGGGGTGGGGACGGAATGAATGGACTATGTTTTGCGTGTTGGAATGAGACGTGGTTTGTCCGCACCATCATCTTTGTGGTGGCTGCGTTGTAATATTTGTTTTGTGGACGTCATTCTTCTTCTCGAAGAGCCATAGATTAGGTTTTGGCGGATAAATGTAAATCTCTTATCAAGTCCAAAATACGAGTTACTGCCACATACCAAGTATTACGTCAAAGTCAACAGTTAACTCTCAAGTTCTAAATAGTTTTATGTTCTGGATCATTTTGCAGTCAAAGTAAAGCAATAATAGCTGTCAGATATTAATCTGAACTGTGGGCCAGGCCTCCACGCCTCAAATGCCATTCATACCATTTGATCTACTCTAATCCATTCAAACAAAAATATGTTTCTTGAGTTCTGATTGTCAAGAGTTGTGTGCTCCTGATTCAATTTTATACCGTTGAATTAATGTTTGGCGTTGCATGGTTACTGCTTCTCAAAGAGTTTTATGTGATTGCTGATCTCTCACTGCAATTGATGTCTGTGTTTCATGTCAGAATGCCATCTAGGACTGAAAATGTGTCCTTAGTCTTCCGTCACTGGACACTTTTATTTTTCTTGTACGTTCTGTCCCTTTGGGACTGTTCGGGGCCCCGGAATGCGTGTGCCCGCTCGTGGGCCTGTGTACATAACGTGAGTAGGGGCGGGTGGTCGTGGACAGCACGTAGTTTCCGGCGGGGGAGGGGGAGGGGGGCATGAGACAGAGCCCCACTGTGTGAGGTCGGCCTTCTTGGCGTCGCTCTGTAAAGTCGAGAATCGTCGCCTGCCTTTGCTGTGGGTGGAGGGCCTGTGCTGAATCAGAAAGCGGCATTCTGAGGGCCGGGCCTCGTAGGGAAGGGCTAGGCAGGGCTAGGCAGGGCCGACGTGAGGCGTGCGGTGGCTTGACAGCTCAGCGGGCTGGTGAAATGAGTATTAGGTACAGTTTGTTTGCCAGGAAACGGTAGATAGTGGGTGGGGCCCACTCTAGAGATAAAGCTCTAGCTTCGTGCCCGATGAGAAATTGGCATTTCTTTCGAGGCTGTCGCGTATACTAGGCGCTGAGACCTGTTGAATTTGTCGCCCTCTTCATTGTCCGGGTTCGCCCTGTGACGGTCCAGGACGAATGAATCAGTCAATGAACGAACAAATGCCTGAATCAAGTGTCATTGCTTGTGCCAAGTGTTGCAGCCGTGTCGGCGGTGCAACCTGTTGACGTGGAATGCATTGGCAGATGGATTCACTGCATGCTGACACGGCTCCGCCACTGGGAGTCGTGTGGCGTGAGGGAATGCTGGGAATTTGACAGGTCAAGCCAATGACAGCGGCCACTTGTGACAGCTGCTCCGAGTGCGTCGGGTGGGGCGTGGCGGGGCGGGGCGTGGCGGGGCGGGCGGGCGGCGGCGGGGCGCGGCGCGGCCGGGCAGCCTTGGTACTCCTCGGTACCCTGTTTGGTGCTCCGTGCTCCGGGTCGTGGCTCTGCCGCGGTGCCCCGTGCGGGTACCGCCTGAGTACCGCCTGGCCGGGTAGGGCAGGGCCAGAGCCCCATGGCAGGGCCGGGTCTCGTCTCGGCACTCCTGGCTGTACGGTGCGGCTGGCGCGGCTCGCCAGGGCGCGGTGCGGCGCGACGCGGCACCGGCGCGGTGTGCTTGCGACGCGGTGCGGCTCGGCACGGCAGCGCTGGTGTCGGTTCACCGGTCGCTGCTGCCCCGCTGCGGTGTTGCGCGGTGCAGCGGGGTACACGTCGACGGCATGGTTGGGGGCGCGGCGGCCGGCGGCGGCGGGGCGCGGTGCGGCCGGCGAGATGCTACCACTGCCGAGTTCATCTTCACTTTCGACGCCCAAGGTCGTCTCCGCGCCGCGCTGCGCCGCGTCCCGCTGCGCTGCACCGCTGCACCGCGTCGCAGGGCTAGGTCCGGCGGTCCGGCCGGTGGGCGGAGGGCGGCCAGGGCGGCCAGAGCATGGCCACGGTCCTGACGGTGGGGCAGGTCGGGCCGCGTTGACAACACGCCCTAACGCGATGGTTATGCCCGCCGCGGCTAGGGGCGGCTATTTCTGGCCGCGTCTTTCTTCACTTGGGCGCCGACGTCGGCCTGCCTGCCCCGGGCCTGCCCGCGCTGCAGAAATAATCTTCCCCCAAAACCACCCCGTCGACGCTCGTCGCCCGACCCGTGCCGCGGCCATGCCTTGTTCCCCGGGAGGGAAGCACCGGGTTGCCGTCGGCGACCTCGTCGGCGGCCTCGGGGCCGTCCGCGCAGCGAAGCGATGCTCTCGTCCGTCAGCGGACGGCGCACTGTTTGTTGACGGCGACGGTTCGACGCCCCCGTCAGCCGTCGGGGAAGCCCCCGAGGGCGAAGGCGCGTCTAGTGCGGGTCTGTCGGCGCTGCGTGGTGCAGCGCAGAGAGGCGCGGAGGCACGCCCCGTCATCCCGGCCGGCTTGTTGATGGGGTGCGACGAGAGGGTGGGGGTGCGCGTCTACCGTCGTCGCGCGCCCAGCGCGCCCAGCGTCACTGACCTCTTGACTGCGCGCGGCGCGTCCGCGGCGTGGCTGTCCGCCAGTGGCGTGGCCGCGCGCGGCGCGCTGGCCGTGGTGGCCGCGCCGGCCTTACGGCGACGTGGCATGGTTTATCTCCCTGAGGGCGCTAAAAGCGCGTCGCGCGTCGGGGAAGTGCGTGCTCTTCTTGTTGGCGCGGCCGAGCGCGTGGCGCACTTCGTCTCGCCTTTGTATTTGGGTCAGTGCATTGGAGTCTCCGCGGCGACGCCAAGCACGCCAAGCGGGCCGTGCTCCCCGCACTCTAATTGGTGGCCGTCGGCCGAGCGATAGGATTGTTTCGTCGCTCTGTCTCTCTCACTCCCCGACTGGACGCACCACGAGTGCGACGGAGACAGAGCGACGAGGCTGTCCTTCGGAATCGCTCGGTTGGCTCGGTCCGAATCGGCCGGCCGGACAACACCCGTGACACTCTAGTCGAGAAAACCTTGCCGTGTTCCAATGCTTGCGCACGAAGTCTCGAACGTGTGGTAACCAGCAGCAAGATTACAGGACTTTGCCGGCCTATCATGTTCATGTAGCGGGCGTGGCTGGCCCGTACAGACCCGTGGCGCTCTTGGCCGAGGCTGTACTGTTCGGGCCTTGCCTCGCCTCGCCGCGGCCGGTCCTGGCGAGTGACTCACTCTTCGCGCGTATTCTACGCAGCATGGCGGGAAGGAAGCGAATGCCGAACTGTTGCCGCGCTCTTCCGTTCGGCGGGAGGGAGGACGAGTCACAGCCCAGCGGACTGATTCCGAGAGTCGTTTTCGTCGCGCTGTCTCTCTCGCACTTCCACGGGACGCCCCATGAGTGCGAGAGAGACAGAGCGACGACGCCGACCCTCGGAACCGGCCCGCTGGACGCGGCCTTGCGCCTCACACGTGCATGTGCACGCGGCCGGACGCGCTTCCCCTCCTCTTCTAGGCGCCAGGGACGCTGCAGCGCGCCGACGCCGCCGACGCCGAGTTCGCGGTGCAGGCGCACGGGAAAGCGGCCAAAACTCGGGCGGTCCTTTGAGCGGCCAGAAGCCGCGCCGCGACCACGCAGTGCAGTGCACGCACTCGGCCCCAAGTCGCAATGGGCGGGCCTGCAATATGGGCGACATTTCCGCTTCCTCCATAAACCAAACTGGCGGCCCGGCCCGCGCGGCCAGCGTGTTGCTCTGGACGGCCGCCAGCCGACTGATTCCGAGAGTTGTCTTCGTCGCTCTGTCTCTCTCGTACTCGTGGGGCGTCCCGTCCAGGTGCGAGCGAGACGGAGCGACGAAAACGACCCTCGGGATCACTCTAGGGCAGCGAGGGGGTGGCTGGTGTGCGGGGTGCGACGTTGTTGGGGTGGTCGCCGTGGCCGTGTCCAGGCGTGGGCGTTGTCGCCCCTTGTCGCCGTCGCCCTGCTGACCTGCCTCTAGGGGCTGGTGGGGTGGGGTGGGCGCCGAAGGCCGAAGGGAGGGAAACCTCTTGAAGTGCCGTGGAATCCGCTTAGCGGCGGTGTGTGTTGTCGGCCGCGCCGGCAGTTTCTCGCTGTTTCGGTGTCAACACTCTCGTCCTGGTTCCAAGGCCCGCCCCGCCGGCACCGCGGCACCGCCCTCACTCACACTCGCGCCCACTGCACTGGGAAGGGAAGGGTCGCGGTGCGAGGACAGGTGTGTCTGGGGCAGCAGGGCGAAGCAGGGCGGCCGGCTGTGCGCCAACGGTGTGCGCGCTACTGCGGATGATTGCCTGCAGGCTGACTCCGAGCGCGTCGTCGCTCTGTCTCTCTCGCGCCCCTACGGCACGCCCCACGAGTGCGAGAGGGACGGAGCGGCGAAGCGCCGATTCGGAGTGACCGTGCTGTAGGGCGTAGGGGAGGGGGCGGGGCCTGCTGGGGGGCCGTCGGTGCAGGCCGGGGACTTTTATGTCCATGTAAGGCGTGTTGTGCCTCGAGACGCGACGAGCGTCGGCCGCCACGGTCTCACTGACACACTCTCAAAGGCGCGCGCGTA